GTCACCTTCTTAAGAAAGCAATCCTGTGGCCCCTTGACAGCATCAGAGCATCAATCAGATTCCCAGATGCAAGCTCAGACAGGGCTCCATCCCAGGAGCCTACTCCATCCTACGCCCTTGCCTTACAGCTGGCATGCAAGCCACTGCACCAGCTGTCTCTCCAAGGGCTGGGAAATTGACCAAGCAGAGGTAGTAAAGTTTGGGGTTGGGAAGAGGAGGGGATGTGCTCCAGCCCCCTTCCTTTTCCCTTCAAGGTGCCTCAGCTAGGTGGCAGTTGACCGTCTAGCTCAGGGGTCAGCAACCCGTGGCTCTTTCATCCCTCTGCTGTGGCTCCGTCGCTCAAAATATGCGTCACAACCGCCAATGTGCGACACCTGCCGACACGCGATTTATTGAGCTTTTCAACCCCCGGTAGGTCAACCATGGATAAATCCAAGGAAAGAAAAGTTTCAGAAGAAAACAAATTGTTTAATGGTATGTGGGCAGATTCATTTGCTTTCACTGCTGACGAGACTGGTTTACCAGTATGCTTAATATGTGGTGAAAAATTGACAAACAACAAAAAAGTCAAATGTTGCAAGACATTTCCAGAATAAACACACAGCCTTTGCTGAAAAATATCCAGATGGAGATGAGAGAAAAAAAGCCATTTCGGAACTGATGCGGAAGGTTGATCTGAGCAAAAATCATTTCAAGAAGTGGATTAAGTCTGCAAATTCAGCTACATGTGCTAGTTTTGTGGCCACTCAGGAAATAGGCACAGAAAGCCGTTCACAGATGGAGATTATATAAAAGAATCATTCATCGATTTCATAAATGCAACACACTATAGTTTTTTTATATATAGCAGAGAGGTAAAAAACGATATATGCAGTGTTATCTTCATTTCAGATGTCAAAAGGGTTTTGTGGTCCAAATGGCTCTTTGAGTGTTTAAGGTTGCCGACCCCTGCGCTAGCTGAAATGCACAGCGGGAAGTATGGGGAGGTGGAGGTAACCTCTGCTGTTTCTTCTGCTCTGCACTGGATGCTTGCAAGCTTCTGAGTTTGGGGACTTCTGAGCAGTGAGGGCACACCTAGTACAACTGCACTCTAAAAAAATTTAAGACACGATCCTGTGTATGCTTAGAGTGAAAAACAAAATCCTTCTGCTCCCAGCATCTGCCAGTCAACTGCCTGGGGGATGCTGGGAGCTGTAGGACTTTTTCCTGCCTAAACATGCCTAGGATTGCATACTTAGCCATATTAGCCAACATCCTGTTGCTGCCCCTGGTCAGAGTTGAAGTTACAGAACAATATAAGGGAAGCCAAGGTCAGAAATCATATAGATGCAGAAGCATTTATAATCCACTCAAAGACATAATCCATGTGCCAGGAAGCCTTTAAACTTTTGATAGCTGCAACAACTGCTACTGATGCACCTTTCTTGGGCAAAATGTACAAATGTAGAAGGTTATGCTTTATGACTGCCAGGTATAACACAGAAGATATGATTCTGGGGGAAAAAATGACCAAAACCCTCTCCCTCCTAAAAGGGGGAAAAAGTCATTAACAGTCATCAGTTGTTCCTGCATTAACAGAACTGACAAATGTTACAGCAGGTAATCCCAGGGAGCAAGACACTGAAAAATGGGGTGCTTACCTTCCTGAATACCTTGAAAAGTTTAGGGCCTTTTGCCAGGGTCTAATGCACACTGCCTGAGGGGAATGCCCCAGCTCTGCATTCACAGATACATACACTACTTAGAAGCCAAAATTTATCCAGAGAAAAATAAAGAGCAGGTCCAAACAGGAACAATGTTGCCTAGGCAGCAATATTCCTATTGCATTCTAATCTAACTCTTTCTCCCCAGAGAGGTGAAGAGTCTAATAGCCTCACAGATTGAGAGAAGCCAACAGAAAAGGAGGAAGTTCAAGTCTATGACCTATCAGTTGTCCTGTACAATAGACCATGAGAACAGGAAGGGAGCAAACCAGGGTCAGTTGCCAGGTCTGCGTGCAGGGCTTGTCCACGCCCACCTCTCGCTCTCTCTGTACTTGCTTCTATTGCTTATTAGTCTTATGCTAACTGCCCTTGATAACATCAACTGTTTTCTGCTACTTGACCATATCTGTTTTCTAAGGGTAAAAAGGTCAATTGTCTTGCGTGCCTTGGCTGCTATCGATGAGAAATCAATATTCCAGGAATCAATTTCCAGGAATCTGGCAACTTACTGTCCTTTCCCAGGGCCATCTCCTTAAAAAGAAATCACCTCAGATTAGACCTGACATTTTCTCCTCAGTAATTCCACTATTCATTCTTACCTCATTCACACTGGCTAACCCGGATCATCAGGTCACTTCTCCACTTTTATTCAAAGCATCCCATGGCCGGAGAGCGTCCTTGTGATGCTTGACACACAACCAACATCCCTATTATATACACACGCCACAATGTTCTTCCTTTCATTATATTATCTTCATTATGCCCAGAAACTCGACAGTATTGGGAACGGGGTTAAATCCAAATGGACCTCTCTGTTCAAAGAACAGGAATTTCCCCGTCACTCTATCCCTGCGTAGGTCCTATACAGTTCAAGCGTCAATCCTCTGGAGCAGATGTGGGGGCACAGGTGGGTTGGCTGTGAGGCAATAGGCAAAGCTGATTTGTCAGGGTCTGCTCTGCTTCTAGAAGGTCACCACTTCATACAACTCACTCAGCAGTACAGCAACTTCCCCAGTAAGATGGAACAGCGGTGGTGGTGGTGGTGGTTGGGGGGGGGGGGGAACACTGCAAAACCAGCAAGTATCACATCTTGTTTTTTACCAATAACAGTTGTTCTTGGACCAAATGCTAAGGCTTCCAAATGATTGCTTCCTGACTTCTGATATCTGAATGCATACTGTTGTTTTGTGTTTTCCTGGTTCTTCAACCAACAGGATTAAAAGAAGAAATGAAATCCCAGTATTTATTCTGAAAAGATATGATGTTTCACAGCACTGTGTTAGCCCCATCAGCTTACATATGCATGTTTTGTGTGTTTGTTCAGATGTTCTAATGGATTCAATAGGTTCTACTTCCAAGTAAGTATGCATAGAGGAGCGGCACAAGGGTTGGACCCAGATGAGCATTTGTGCAAGTGGAAGGTGTCTTTTGCCTCTGAAAGGACTTTTAAAGAAAAATATAACTTTCTTTATAAAATATAAGAAAAATGTAAGTGCAAGAGAACTGAAATGCAGAGATTATTCACACAACAGCACATGATCAAAACTGAGACCCCTGTTTGGTCTAGCATCCTGTTTCCCACAAATCCAGAGGCTTATTGGAAGCTTGCAAGCAGAGCACGATGGTAACAGCTCTTCCCCACTGCTGTTCCTCAGTGCCCAGTGGCATTGCCTTCTGCTAGCTCTTGAAAAACATTTTCAGATCACACCACCAGCACTAGCAACGCCTTTTCCACTAGTACATTTATGGATCCAATCCTAATTCTCTTTTTCTGCTGTATTAGATGCTTGCCTTTTTTCTTATTGAAATAGCTATTAGATAAGCATTTTTCATATATATTAAAATTCACTGTCCATCAGAATCAAAAACATTCCCCATGGCATAGGACTGATTTAAAATTTAAAAAATACAATTTGTAGCCATCTATTTTTCCATATATAATCTTATCCACTCCTGCAACTTGTCCCTCAGAAATGATTAATCCATTTTCAAATAATTGCATTATTCCAATTGTGCCTCTTTAGGTACAAATACTTATTCATAGGTAGTGGTATTTTTGTTCATTCCTTGTTTTAAAAATGAGCTATCCCAACTGTTCCCAAATGAGCTATCCCAAAATGATCTTCCAACTGTTTTGTTATGTAATTGGGGCACTCTGTCTGGGGTGGACTGCGCATCAAAATATCCAATATACATGAAGACTTACAAGGTCACATTACAGAAATGGTTTGGTGTCCTCCTTAGGGGGAAAGCTGTCTGCAGGGGGAGTGGAGAGTCAGTGCTGAGCAGATAAACGGCATGAAAGAATATTTTCAAGTAGTCTCCCTCCTCTGTACTGGTTATTCATTCCCAATTTGAGCCCCCTTTTATTAGTGAGAAGACAAAAGAGATAATTACATAAGTCCCCCTACCTCCACCCTCCACTGCTCTATCATTGCCACTTGAACTCAAACTGGCTAACCAGGTATGGATAACTTTCCATGAGTTTTTTCTTTTCAACAAAAATGAACTCTGGAATGCCCAGGTAGGGATTGAGTTGTCATGCAAAGGTTAAACAGACCTTGGGTTACAAAAGGGTTGTTTCACCCTCAAATAATCCATGCTTGCCAGGTTTACACAACACAACTCCTAAGTTGGGGTTACATATTCAAAATGGTGGCTCCATGTGACCCCACCTCCCTGTGGGTTATCATAAGCTAAAGCAGGCTGGCAGGCTGTGGGAGCACCCTTTCTGTTTTCAGTTTCTATATGAAATAATTTCATTCAAAACATTTTAAAAGTGACTTTGTATTGATTGCATACAAAGATTGAAAGGTTCTCTAGTTTCAAAGTCAGATTTTGATGTTTTAAATCTTTACAGTTCTTTAACATCTTGAATTTATTAGGACACAATAGATATTTAAAATACAAGGGATCCAACCATTATGAGGCTGTTTATATAGGTAAGATATGTAATATTGGGGAGCCATGGAAGCTTCTGCAATAATGAAATTATTCAATAAATTAAAATAATTTCTTTTTGTGCTATTCAAGTAGAGCTTATACAATGATCATTCGTACCTATTACAGGTAACTGGTGTGTTTCAGGTTTTCATTTGAAAGTGTATACAAAATTAGGATTCATAGACTTTTTACAGAATTTGAAAAGTATTTGTAAAAATATTATCCAGCACTTAACAAAAATATGAAAGCTAAAAAAAAAGATCACTAGAATGGAATTACTTCCTTGTGTCAAGTAATCTCACCAGCTGATTTCTATAAGGCAGGCTGGTTTCGTAGAAAAAGAATGAAATTTCCTGTAGTAAAGTAGCTCTTTAATAAAACTAATTCAAGATTGGGAATTGAGAGTGCGATAGTGTATTTTTAAGTTTCAAAAGAACTGAAACATTTAAAGATTCAGAAGAGGCACTGAAACATGATTCCATGAGGACTTTCCAGGAGATTGTCTCTTCGCTGAATTAGTATTCCACTGGAAGAAATAAGGAAAAGTATCATTAGTACCAATCATATTACAATCTGATTGACCTTCATAATCTATACCAAATAAATATAACGATGAAGATGAGAGGATACAGTTTTAAGGATATGAGTACAGGGCAGTTTGCACAGCATTTTAGAACATGAAGGGAAGAAGGATTCTTGGTAAATGAAGATACTTTCCCTCTTGTGATACTATTGCATGAATATTATTTATTTATTTGCTTTATATCCTGAATTTTAATCTTTTCTTTTTAAAGAACTCAAAGCAGCTGACACCATTCTCCTCTTCCTACTCTCAATCTTATGCCCACAACATCAACCCTGTGAGGGAGGTTAAGCTGAGAGTCTGTGACAGGCCCAGAGTCACCCAGCAGGCTCCATGGCCGAGCGGGCACTCGAACCCAGATCGCCTGAGTCCCAGTCCCATGCTCCTAACCACTGCACCACACTGGTCCTCAGTGTACAGGGATAGATAACTGTGGCCCTCCAGATGTTTTGGCTACAACCCCTGACATTCCCTTGAGATCTCTTAAGCTGTAGGGAATTGTAGGTCAAGTTGTCTATCTCTGCATTAGTACCTGGGGAGACTTATGAGGCAGTATTCGTATGAACCCAAACTAGCAGCAATTATTAACAAATCAATTTGTCTTTTTCTTTATCAAATAATTAAAATTATATAATGCAAATACAGAAACTTAAATTTTAAGTAGTACTCTAGAGGTTGTGACTTTGACAAGCAATAGATGGAGGATGGGGATGGAGGTAATTGTGCCTTGGTAATAAAATAATGCAACGTAGCATTAATACAATAATGCACCATGACAGTAAACCATGCTGGGTTGGTTGTGTGTGCAACATCCCACAATGAGCCAACAGATGATCAAGGTCACTATGGTTTGTTGACTTCACCCTCCCTGCACAGTCTTCCCATGGGTATCCCAAGTGAGCTTCCACTCACTGCCATGATTACAAGGTATTTGTGCTTAATGTGGCCTTTTTGCTTTGGAAATTAAGAAAGCCAACTCTAAAGAAAGCCTTCTTAATCTGTGTTGACAGCCATGAGTGATCCATTCAAAGGTTTTCAGTGGTTGTCTAATCTTTAAAAAAAATGTGCAGAAAAATATGCATGATTAAAAAAAATCTTTTTCTGGCTATAGTTGTGCAATCTGCAAGATCACAATTACCTGACTGTGTGGGGTCCAGGCCTCAGCTGGGTACAAATAATCTTTAGCTGTGAAAATGGGAGGGGTGTTGGGGGGGCTGTTAAACCACCTTTGCAGTAAGATCATTAAAATGTCTTTCTTCTTTAATTCCCAACTGGGTACACAATGTAGGTTGTCCTGAGCCTCTAGCTGCTCGGGAAAATGCAAATGTGCCCCCCTCTTTTTCCAAAGGAAAAGGAGCTTACATTTACCTATTAAAATAACTTGTTGCTTTAAAAAAGCATGTTTATGTGTGTGTTTGTGGGGAGGGGGGGAGGTGAGGAGCCAACATTTACATTCTTCCAAGCACCTAGAATATCAGGAGAGTGTACAAGATGTGTACCCTGAAGAGGACTAAAAGGAGAGGGTTTTGTTTTTAATCCACAAACCTTTCTTTGCTACAAAAGCTCTCTCACACTTTTGTTTTATTAGGCAGATGACATTCTAATAGTGTCAAGAAACACCAAACTGCAGAAAATATTTTTGGAGTCTCTTCTGACTAGCATCAGGGACACCCCTGGACGTATTCCTAGTCCCCAGTCAAGAGTTTAAACCCCCACAATTGTGAAACTGTGGATGTTTGCAGCTGCTCAGCAAGGAAAATAAAAAAAAGGAATACATTAATTTTATGTACTATGTTTTGTCCAAAAATGTAAGCTAAGACTTGAAAGCCAAGATGCCACTGGGGACTGCTTGTAGCCATCAAAGCAAAAAGCTGTGAGAAACCCCAAAAGGCTCATAATCATCTGGAGCCCTACAGCAAGAGCAGCGATGGCATTTTGTTTCTCTTGCCATGGGGCTGGCTGATTCCACATACGTACAATGGGCTCACTTGTCCAGGTTCAGGTGCCACAACAACCCATTGTGGTCAAAGGGTCAAAGTAGTCCCTTAGAAGAAGCCATAGATTTGTGGGATGGCAAACGCTACCCTGTGGAAACTGGCCAGGATTCACATGGCACAACAGCTGATTATGGGAAGAAACACACAATAGGCTGCTGTGTCATGCTAACCCAGACAATGTGTTCTTTTTATAGTGTTAAGTATAAGTCTGTTTACAATTATACATACCTGTTGTCTAAGAACAACCACTTTTTCCGTCTTCTTGAGAAACACTGTGCATTGCAATTAGACTTTCACATTGCTCACTTTCTTCTGATATTCTACAAGATTGTATATAGAGTTGGGAAATTAGTTTTGAGTTTATGCACAGCATCATAGAAACTACATAAGCATATCCACAATGCTGGTGCTGGTAGGGCAGAAACAATCTTAAGGTTCTATGTACAACAGCACTGTGTCTGGAATCTCAAGAGACCAGAATAATTTTGAGTGCCTCTCCCCTTCCGTATGCCTCAGTTCAAGTCTGCTGCCTCTAATACTAAATGATGCCTAACATAAAAAATATCCAGCACAATGTCAAGGAAAGACTGTTTCCTACATAAACTAGATTAGAACATTGCTCAGATGATTTCACAATGGGCGATTCACATTTTAAGCATTTTGAGCAAAGTCGAAGTATACATTCCTAGTTTCAAACCAATTCATGCAAACTATACAAAGTCCTATAGATGAAGTCTTACAGAAGGATGTCACCTGTGGTAAAAATTTGGATTAAGAAAGATAAACATCAAAAGGAGCCCAGGTAGAAAAGGAGATAAAAGCAGCAAGGAAATGATCCCACCTCTGAATACGGTGTTTTCTGCAGAGGAATACAAAAACTCTTCTAATTCCCACCATCACTGGATCCCAGTTATTGTAGTGACATAAGAGAGTTGCAATGAAAAATGAACAAAATACAGGGATTGCCCCAGCAAAGAATAACCAAGAAAACTGGACCTGAAATTACAATAAGAAATATCATTCTGTTATTACACCAATAGTACAGAAAAACTGCATTTCTATCCTGTCACATATTTGGATGGGAAATCTCTAAATATTCTTTCCTAGATGTGGTATTCCTATGCACAGTTTAAAACACATGAAAATAAAAGCACTTAATGTTCAAACAGGCACTTCTCCCAAAATTGTTTCCAATGCTTTACCACTACCCACCTGGCACACACAGAGCCGAAAATACCTGATTTAAAGAAACAGAATCCAAATGTTCTTTCAACTCTGCATTTTTTAACTTCGTAATTCACCATCCTACTTAATACCATCTAAATAGCATAGAACAATGCTGGTGCAGTTTATGTAGTTTTAGGCCAGAGTTTCAAAGGGCTGGGGGAAGAAAACCACAGGCATATTCTTAAACAGGTAACGGTGATGTGGTAGGGTAGAAGAATGGATATAAATTTAGGAATATTGAACCCAAAAAATCATAGATTGCGGTAGTACAGTAATACGCTGGGACAGCTTCCACACTGGGTTATTTTATTTATTTATTTATTTATTTTTATTTATATCCTGCCTTTTTCCTACAAAGGGCTCAAGGCAGCTTACATCATCCATCTTATCCCCACAACAGCAACCCTGTGGGGTAGGTTGGGCTGAGAGTCTGTGACTGGCCCAAAGTCACCCAGTTGGCTCCATGGCCGAGCGGGGACTAGAACCCAGATCGTCTGAGTCCCAGTCCCATGCTCTTAACCACTACAGCACACGGGCTCTCTTTAGGCAATGGTAGGCTGCAGTGTGTGCCAGTGGCTCTTCTGAATGTTCGAGGCCTGTTGTGTTATTACTGTGTGGACTGTGCATTATATGTGAGCCGTCCCGAGGCTATATAGCAAGGGGACAGCATACAAAAACTCTAAATAAATCAATAAACCCCCCCAAAGTCCATGGATTGTGTGAGAGTTGTTTAACCTTCACATAAATCACGGATTCCATGTTCAGATGACATGGCAAGCTATGGCTGAAGTTCGAATATTTAAAAAACCAACGACAACACTTGGCCCATGCTATGGTTCACCACAGCGGGAAGCCGTGATAGTGTGCGCTGGACTAACTATCGTACTTTCAAAGTAATAATAGTTAAATTATGTATAGCTATAAAAATGTTGTTATTACAAGTGTCTTTCCGCTCACTTGCATATTCTAGGAGTCTTTCAGCATATCCATTCAGAAGAATGACAATAGAAAGTAGTTAAACTTAGCAATCTGTTTTATTCAGTGTCCTTACATAAAGAACTGAAAGTGTGCAAGAAGGAAATTTCTCCTGAAAAGAATTTATGTGTAGAGGTTATCAAGCCTGAGATAGAAGGTTTGATTAAGATGGAATAATCATTAAAAATGACTGGTTCCAAAAGGTTGAGCCAAAGGAGGTCATTTTGTGCAGCTGATCATTTACTTCTCCTTTCCCTTTCTGAAGTCCTCCCAAAAGCTTCTGTTTGACTCCCTGATAGAGAGGCACACTAGAACTTTTACTGTGCTAATCCCAGTAATTCCAGGAAGCTTTCCAGGTTACAAAGGGATAGCTTCCAGCAAACTCTACTGCCGGATTCTCTAGTTCAAATACATGGGAGTAGCATCTAAAGTTCTCTATTGGACTTTCAACCCTAGCAGAGAAACCTAATTCACAAATGCATCTCATGCCCGTCTCAACACCTATGTTCCACCCAATTTAGTTGATGCCTCTTAGGACTTGCCGCAGAGTGATTTTTGATGTTTCTAATTACACGGCCAAGCTGTTCAGGAGGTTCTCCTGACCCTCCACAGAGACTTTTAGGCAGCTGCAGCAAGAAAAGGATAAAGACTGTGTGGCACCTTTCAGTGAACCACCTTTGTTGAGAATCTTAAAGTCTAGTTAGTGCATCATGTGCCACTACTCAGAAGAGAGACTCAGTGTGTTCAATAGGCCTCATCCCCAGGGGAGTATATAAACAGGATTGTAGCCTCAAAAGTCATCTTTAGTTTGTGAAGTAATGATGTATTAGCTAGTTTAAACAAAAACAATTAAGAATTTAAGGATGAATTCTCAAAGTGGTCTACAATAAGTCTGGGACAAGTAGAAGATTTCATGAGTATATGGCATTTACTTATCCTATCTCTGGAGGATAACTGTATTTGTATTTATAAGACAATTTCTATTTCTATTTATTTCTACTAAATAGCAATTGTTAATTTTTACCTCTTAATTGTCTCTGAATCTTAATTCTATCCTAAAGCTTTATAGATTACCGTAATTTTATTTTAGCATTACTCCCACTTCCAGTTTGTACCTCTTCTAAAGTGCATGTGACAAATGAAAATAAATAGTGAAAAAAATATCTTGAATAAGGTATATAAAAACTAGAACTAAAAACGTAAAATAATTGACATAAGGAGACTTTACTGTCTGGTAATGTGAGCATTTGAGTATTACCCATCACTCTTAAAAGACAACTCCCATTTGTTCCAGCTGAGGTTTCTTTCAAAAGTCAGCCCAGGGTTACTGAGGAAGGAAGAAGGCATACTGAACAGGGAAGCCATTGGGTTTGCACAGCATGACAACCCACTGAGTCTTATAAGACAGGATGGGGTGGATTGTTGCATCATGCAAAATCAGGAATGGGTTTGTCAGGGTGGCCTACAGTGTGAGACCCCACTGGGGGTCTGCTTGATTATGGGTTGTTGTGTTGCCCAAACCCAGATGACATGACCTGTTGTGGGTCAAGCCTGTTTCCCCTGACCCTCCACAGAGACTTTTAGCAGCAGTAGCATGAAACAGGAGACAGACTGTGGGCGAGACCTTTCTAAGAATAACCAGGTGGTCAGTGGGTGAGAATGCCTGTCAGGTGCCTCCAAAGTGCCTGCCTCAGTGGCAATTAGGGGAAGGCTATCAGAGGTGTCTCCCTTTCCTTGCTGCTGTATGGAGCAGAAATTGCCTCAGCCAACTAGAAAAAAGGGTAAAGCAGCTCCTGCTCCATGCCACACAGGGAGTCCTTCTGGGCTCATTGTGGTGCTGTGCAGTGCAGAGCAATCCAGTCAGCTGGAAAGTCAGCCAGTTGAAGTGGTCTCTACTTCCACAATGGCTGCTCCCAGACGGTTGGAAGCTTGGCATTCCTGCAGTGTCCCCAGGGATACCTGTTGGGGGGGGGGAACCAAGGAGGAGGGGCAGCAAGGTAGCTCCCTGCCAGCAATGTGGCCATTCATCTTGGTTAGTGGGGCTTACAGGTCACATTGCAGTCTGCTCCACAGTGTGGCTTACTGTGTTGTACATATCTATGCAATAGCTTTCTGCACTGCCCACTGGCAAACTGCCACTTGGTTTAGCTCAGGTGGCCTCAGCATCCTTCAACTATGGAAGAACAATGTTGCCCAGAGAGATGGCAAAAAACTACCTGGAGAGCTGAACTGAAGGGAGTAGGGCAGTCATATCACAAGGGAAAATAAGAAGGAACAACTGAAATTATACATCTACTAACATATCTTTATTTATATACCATACCAAGAAAAATGGTTATTCTAGTCATGCACTATCCTTCAAGAACTATTACCTCTTACTTAATCTCATTGGGCCTGCACATGACTGAGAATGAAAGAGCTTCTCCTGTTCTGTATCTTTGTTCCGGCGTTTATTTAGAAACTGCTTTTTTTAGAGTGCAGTAATAGGAATGTACAGAAGATGCTGAATGGAGATAAGAAAGATGGTGGCGCATTTGGATAAAATAAAAAACTGTGGCTTATAGTTATAGGAATAAGCATCAAGCTCCCATGCATCTCCCTATGCTCCCGCTCTTTGGTGAGGATTATTTATTTATTTATTTATTTAGCTAGCAGACTTATATGCCGCCCCATTTGCCTAAGCCTTGGATGAAACTGGAAGTTTTAGCTTCCATTTTTAAGTAATTGCAAAGTACTGTTGCACCCCTATGGTTAATCTTGCACCTAAACCCTAAACTGTGATTAATCTTTATTATAGCTTGTTGAAATAAATCATTTTCAGAATACATGGTTACAAGATTATATGTGAAAACTTCCTTGCAGCACCATAAGAAAGGAGAATTATGAGCACAGATCTCTGTGTGGTTTATTTCTTTCTGGCAATGACAAAATCTGGTTTATTTCTAAATGGAGTCATCATGCAGAAGTTTGGGTTGTGTGCATGCCAGTTTGCCACAAAAAAACATCTTTTGTGGTCCTTCCTTGTGTTCAGGGACATCCTGTAATATCAAGTCTGTTACTGCCGTATCAGCTCCCTATCATCCATATGTGGATTTATGGATCTTAAACTTGGGGATGGAAGGAAAATAAAGTCCAAGAGGAAAAAAAAAGATAATCTCATACTAGAGTTCAGAAACCTTTCAGCAATTGATACAGCAGGAAGAAGTGTGAATTATTTAATTTGAGGGTCTGAATTGGTAAGTTAGACATCAATCTAAAGCCATTGTTGGCTGTTAAAACTGGTAGCTGCATTGTTGCTAATCTCACACTACATCTGAAGAATCTCACTTTAGAATGAAAGTGTCATAATGAGGGCAAGTTCAACCTGCATTGAAAATGAACATGAAGAAAAGATGACACTTCCACCATGGCAAGTTAAGATACATTCTGAAGTAAACTTCACTCTTTTAGCGATTTCCAAGTCTATCTGTTTAAATAGTTTCCCTGCAGACTCCATAATTCCGCTTCTCAAAATGCCCACTTCTGATCTCTGCAGCTATATTTGACAGCGTCCCCTCACTAAATTCACTGTAAACCTTCCCATTCCAGAAGAAAACCCAAACTATCTTTAAAAGTATTTTTAATTCTACGACATGCAGACTGGCAGCTGGGGGGAGGAACCAATAACAAAGGTGTCACCCACAATGTCACCTTTTCTTACTTTGGCTACATGAAGCGTTCAGCAATGAAAGCTAAAGGCAAGCAAGGCATGTTCACTAGCAACTGGAACAGAAAGTGTGTGTACTTCCTTTGCAGGGATAGAGCCGTTGGAGTATGACTGAGACATGCTGCGATGGGAAACGCGCAGTGCAACGACATATTCACTCCTATTTGAAGAGCACGTCATGTATTTGAAACTTCTGTTTCCCAAACTGGCACCTGCAACATTCTGAGGTTTTCTATTAAAAGCCGTATCTTTGAAGGTATTTAAGACTTTCTGAAAAAAGGATTTTTAAGTAAAACCCTCCCTGACCATGATTTTGTACCCCCGCCCCCAATGTATCATATGTATCATATATAGAATACCCTTACCCACCTGCCTCAAATCTCTATATTATATAATACTAACAAAGATATAATGCATCATTTTATGTATAAAACACAGAGCTTGCTTTTATGAAATGCATGATATAAAACTCATGGAGCTTGAACCGCCCCCCGCCCCCCCGCCCGCCTTAGTTTTGCAGTAGCAATATCCCTGAATAGAAGGTTCCACAAAGGGAGTTTTTCCCAATCTGTAAGAACAGGCAGCCTCAGAAATGGAAATTCCGCATGTCTGTCCCAAGTCCTCATGCACCTGATCCCTCTGCTCTCCCCTGGGACATGATCTTAAAGGATTAGGAAATACCTGCATAAACCTCTCATTTCTGGCTTGTTCTGCCTGCATCCGTCTATGATAACAAGCAGGAGGAAGGAAGACAGGGCTCTATCATGTCCTCTGGCAATCCTCCCATAGGCAAGCACTGCACCTGCAAAGACTGTGCCAGTTATATTTATACTTCATTTCTTAAAACAGCCACACTGCTGTTTTTCAATATTTGAAACTGTAACTATTCTTGGTTGCACTTCATATACTTCACTGATAAAAGAGAAGTATGCATTTAAGGCAGCAAGCATGAAATATTACTGAAGAAGCGAGGGCAATTACCTGTAATTAATTGTAATTATTTCTCCATGTAAAAACTACTTTAACACTTTCTTTTTATGAGCCTTTGCCTTTTAGTTATCTGTTTAGGACTCTGAACAGTAGGGTTATCAACAAAATTTACATTACCTTTTGCATGCACATGTCAGCTATTATGGACAGAGGTATTGTAAGGCTCAAGGCAAGTGTGCCTATCAGTGATGAGGTAAGAAAGCAGCCCCTGGGAAAATTTTAAAATATAGAATTTAAGGTTTATAAATTAAAACAGTTGCAATACAGCTGAGATGCAGAAGCAATTTTCATGCTAGTACACCATAAGCAGAATTTGTGGCCTAGTTGTGGTCTATAAACACATGTGGTCAAACCAAGAGGTTTAGAACTATTTCTTTTTATTTAATAAGCTAGATATTTCTAACTTTGCTTGGTTGTAAAGATAGTGTTGAGAATATACACCAGAAGACAAAAAAGGTCAGTACAACATTGTCATATGTAACCCTCCCATGGATCTTATGATGTTCAGATTTAAGTATGTATGGTAATTTTCCAGCTTTGGAAGAATCAGTTCCAACAATACAACTGCCCGATTTAAGTAGTTTTATAGCACCATTTTATATCAACATTAGATCTCTGGATTACAAAAAAAAAAAAAACTTTCACCAGAACCCTGGAATGCAACATATTGCTTCTTTCAGGGTCTGTGTCATTGCTTACATTTTTGTGTTGACATTTTCATCACAAGGAATTTGTCACAAATTAACTTGCAGATCATTTTGCTTGATTTGTATCATCTGATGTCAAACCAAACACATTCTTCAAGCAGACATTTCATGAATTTGGCTGAGCCTAACTAACTTATAAGCAAGTGGTGAGGAACTAAGGACATAATGCTATGTGTGCTTATACAAAAAGAATCCCACAATTCCCAGGAACCCCCAGCCATGCTAGAGGGATATCTGGGAACTGTAGGATTCTTTTCTGTCTAAAGATGCACAGGATTATGTTCTATGTAATATACATGGATTGATAGCAACTTATGCAATGATGCCTTGATTCTTAAAATTTGAACAACCACAATTTTATTTGGAGGAATCATATTGGAGCCAGTGTAAGCCTATTTGCAAGTATTGTGGCAAGGAACCAGTGCTGATGATCAGAGAAATATCATGCGGCAATGGCCGAGATTCAAATCTGTGCATGGACACCTACAATGTCTGTATATTTATTTCCTTCAATTCTGCTCTTGGCAATTATTGCTAGCAAACTCTTCCAGTCAAGGATTAACAATGAGAACAGAATTGTACAAGCTGCTCCCCTGGCAGTGTCATATACTAGTGTCAGGATCAGGGCCTGAGCGACCCTGCAAGTGCCTGCAGAACCAGGGACACCTTTGCAGACACTTGGAGGGAACTGAGGAGCAACTACAGAGTGTAGCTGGAGGCCCCAGAGACAAGCATAAAAGGCCTCCCTGCACTGCTGCTCTTTGCCACAGAAATCCAAGCTGCCTGTGACTCTCCTGTGCTCTCTGCATCTCCTCGCCTGGGTTCTGCCTCGCTTCAGTCTGTTCCTGCCCGCTCCTGCTTCCAGCTGAACCTGCCTTCCCCGTTACCTCTCCAACCTTGCCTGCTCCAGAACACGACTGTCTTCCTGGTTCTTAGCCTCTGGACTTGTGGATTGTCGGACTTTCCTTGGATTGTTATCTTGGACTATGTGTGTTGTTGAACAGTACACTTGTCTGAACCTTATCATCTCGCCGGTTTGACCAAGCAAAGATGCCTCTTGCTTCTGGCCTCCTGAATCTGTTGCAGAAAAGCAGGTTGCTTAGCTGTAACTGATGTTCTTCAAGTGGCCATCTGTGCAGTCACACATATGGGTGCTGTGCCTGCACAGTGCCTAGGCCGGAAAGATTGAAAGCTAACGGTTTTGGCAGGAAAAACTCCGCTCCCCCTCCCCTTGGTAGTATATATAGAGCGGAGTGTCCGCCATTTTCTCCAGTCTTTGGAGATCGTAAGTTTGCCACCCCATGGCATAACAACCTAGTATGTACCGACACAGTCCCCCTCGGTACCAACGTTACCACTATGAGGTACCGAAGCAGTACGATACGGTACCAACAACGAAACCACTCACTGACACTGAGCGGGGCGGGTTGTGTGACTGCACAGATGGCCACTCGAAGAACATCAGTTACAGGTAAGCAACCTGCTCTTCTTCGTCGTGGCCTCTGTGCATCACACATATGGGTGAATAGCAAGCTTACCAGAAACGGTGCCAGGAGGTGTCGCTATTGAAGGACGGCAGAAAGAACAGCCCTCCCAAATGAGCAGTCTCGTCTGGCACGCACATCAAGATGACAGTGCTTCGCGAAAGTACAAGGCGTAGCCCAAGTTGCTGCCTTACAGACATCCTGGATCGGGACATCCGCAGCGAATGCGGAGGAAGCTGAGACCGCTCTAGTGGAATGGCCCCTTGGAACAACAGGTAAGTCCAGCTTTGAGAGTTGGTACACCAATGAAATGGTTTGAACAATCCATTTCGACAGCCTCTGAGACGAAACAGGCAATCCTTGGTCTCGCTCAGAATACTTTACAAAAAGTTTATTGGAACGTCGAAAAGATTCCGTGCGCGACCTATAAAAAGCCAGGCATCGTCTAACATCTAAGGTGTGCAAGGACCTCTTGACTGGGTTCGACGGCGACGGGAAAAAGGCAGGCAGCACAATTTCTTGGTTCAGGTGAAACAGTGTGGCAACTTTAGGCAAAAAAATAGGGTCCATCCTCAGGACCACCTTTTCCTTATGGAAGTTTAAATAAGGTGGATCGATTTGAAGAGAACAAAGTTCACTGGCTCTACGAGCTGAAGTAACTGCAACTAAAAAAGCCGTTTTCCATGGAACAAGGCATAAATCGACAGTAGCTAACAGTTCGAACGGTGGTTTTGTAAGCGCCTGTAGGACAACTGAGAGACTCCATGTCGGCATAAATGGCCGAATGGACGGCTGTAGATTCTGCAGGCCTTTAAGAAATTTCCGAATAAGCGGCTGTGAAAACACCGACAGCCCTCGCACTACACCACGATAATGTGAAACTGCAGCTGCATAAACCTTAATTGAGGAGGGTTTCAGTCCCGAGCGATGCAGGTGCAGCAAAAACTGAAGAACATTCTCAACTGACACCGTAAGTGGGTTAAGCGAGCTAGATTCCACAAAGGATGAAAAACGACGCCACTTCGCCACGTAGGACTTTCGGGTGGACAGTCTTAGTGCAGGCTTGAGAATCCGTACAACCTCTGGATCCAAAGAACTTGGTCCTGACAATATTCCCATCGGTACCGAATCAGTGAGAGGGTCCAACTGATCATGAGGTGAGGTACCTAGTGATCTATTAGATCCCTGTTCCGAAACAGTCCCTTGAGTCAATGAATCCTCCACGCAGTGAGGTTCAATGACGACAGATCCGGGTGACGGATGGCCCCGTTTTGTTGGGTTAGCAAATCTTGTGTGAGCAGAAGGCGAAGGAAATTGCCCTTCGAGATCCGAAGGAGAGTGGAGAAACACGCCTGGCAAGGCCACCAAGGTGCTATGAGTATCTCCATGGCATCGTCGTGCATGATCGAGACGACTTTGGTCAGCAGAGGAATAGGTGGGAATGCGTAGAACCTGAGTTTTGTCCATGTAATCATAAGGGCATCTCCCATTGATCCTGGTCCTATTCCCGCCCTGGAGCAGAACCTTTTGCACACCTTATTTCTGTTGGTGGCAAAGAGATCTATGTCCGAATGTCCCCACAGTTGGAACAATTGGGTGCAAACTTGATGGTTTAGTCCCCATTTGTGGGTGATTGACATGTGTCTGCTGAAGGAGTCTGCCTCTTCGTTGTCGGTCCCGGCCAGATGGACCGCCAAAAGGGTTATGCCTCTCGGGATACACCACTCCCAAATGTCCACGGACAGGCGGGCCAGGCGGTAGATTTTGTGCCGCCCTGCTTGTTGATATAGAATACCACTACTATGCTGTCTGATGTGAGCTGTATCATGCGTTGGTGAAGAATGGTTGGCTTGGCCCCCCCGTGGCCAAGCCAAACGGAAGGACATTAAACTCGTAAATGTCAGTTCCGATGGTGAAACACAGACGCCTATGACTTTGGTGAATTGAAATATGGAAATAGGCATCCTTTAAGTCAATGGAGGCGAACCAATCCTCTCTCCTCAGCAGCGGAAGAATATTTTGGAGGGTAGTCACCTGAAATTTCTTTGGTTTGATAAATTTGTTGATATTCCGGAAGTCCAAGATTGGACGAAGACCACCGTCTTGTTTCGGGACCATAAAATATCTAGAGTAGAATCCGTGCAGTCCCTCGGAACTGGAAACCCATCAAATCGCTCCCTTCTGAAGCAGTTGTCGCACTTCGTTCACTAACACCGGGGAGCGCGGTGTAAATCGAATCAGGCTCGATGGAGGAACGGTATCGAATTCTATTCTGTATCTGAGCTGAATAATTGACAGGACGCACCGATCAGATGTAATGGGACTCCCAAATGGGGAGTCGGCCTTGCAGCCATTCCCCAAAAGGGAGGGAAAAGGGTGGGTATGGAGGTGGAGGAGAGGGTCGCACGTCTCGTCAGTGTTGACGCTTCTCGGTATCGAAATGTCAACAATTTTGTGGAAAATGCTGATGAGGTTGTTGCCTTCTGCGTTGTGTCCTCTGTTGGTACTGTTGCTGTGGCGGCTGATAGCGGTAGGATGGGCGTGACCATGACCACTTACGTTTGTTCTGTCCGGGCAGTTCCATGCGTCCGGCCGTCATCCGGGATTCATGGATTGACTTTAACTTGTGATCGGTGCGGGAGTGAAAAAGCCCAGAGCCGTCAAAAGGCATTTCCTCTATTCGCCACTTCATTTCATCGGGGAAGTTGCAGTTTCGCAACCTGGCATGCCTTCTCAGTGAGACAGCCCCCACAAGCGCTCTCGAGTCCGTATCCACATGGTGGTGTGCTGTGGATAGTTGTTGAATGGCGACTTGCATCCCCTCTTTAATGAAGGTTCTGGCAAGGTCCCTTTGTTGCTCAGGCAGGGGAGCAACGATATTATTCAGCCTCTGCATAATAAAGAATTGATACCTAGCGAGGGTGGCTTCATAGTTGGACATCCGAAGCCCGAGTCCTGCAGCCGCATAGACTCTGCGCGCCAGGGTATCAATCTTGCGTCCCTCCTTATCTCTGGGGGTAGTATGGCCTCTAGCTTCCCTGCCCTGAGATGATTCAACCACCACAGAGTTTGGCTTAGGGTGGTGAAGCAGAAAGGGGATGTCGCTCTCTTGGACCCAATACATGGACTCGTATCTTCTCACTGTAGGTTGAGTTTGAGAAGGCAAGTCCCATGGTTGCATCATCGCCTGCCGCAGAGTTGTAATAAGCGGCAAGACGATTGCTGATGATTGTTCTCCCCGAAAATGTCATAGAACTTGTCGGTGCTCGGATCTGGCTGATGTTGCGCCTCAATCTCGAGCGACTGAACAAGTCTAGACATAAGCTCCCCAAATGAAATGTGGGGTTCTTCAGGCGATGACGGGCCTTGAGATGTAACCATGCCGTCTGGGGAGGTTGAGTTGGCATCCGAGCCTGAGTCGGGTCTGGGATGGTATGGTTCCAATGAGGAGGTTACTGGAGAAGTGGAACGATCGGGTTCAACATGCCAGGAAGTAGACGGCAGATCCTCATGAACAGAGGGTGAAGAACGATCCCGTGGGTGAGGATGAAATCCAAAAGAATGGTAGTTCTCCCAACCCCTTGGGTAGTCATAGCAGGGTCAGAACCATCCTTCTTCCCGCCTCTCGTCCATCCGAGTCCGAGGTGGTGGTGATGGAGATCGGTCTCGCTGTAGGCATAGGAGTTGGGGACCGGGCCCTCGGAGGAAAATCCTGAATCTCCCCATTGGACATTGACTCACGATGCTGCTCTTCGGGCAGTGGAATAGGCATGCCCTGTTGAGGAGCAGATTGCATCGGTGACCCTGGAGGAGGAGCTTGCATCGCCGCCTGAAGCATTGGTACCGATGGCATTGGTACCGAAGCTGCCGTTGGGATCGATGGGGCTGTCGAACCCGAATCCCGATGCCTCTTCTTATGAGGCAGTTTTGCCACCTTATCTTTCTTCACCTTTTTGTGAGCCGAAGATTGATCCGATCCCCCATGCTTCCTCTTTTTCCGTTGTTTATGGGGGGGGAGAGGTAATTGAGCCCCTGAAGGGGAATTTCCACCGTTGGATGGTTGCGGCTGCAGCATAGGCGGCGTGGGTGAAGGGCGTTGCTTGGACATGCCTGTGGCAGAGACTGGGCATTGAACTGGTTCGGACGAGGCTGAGGCCTTGCGCTTAGCAGATGGAGCATGCGCTGGCCTGGGTATTCCTGCAGGCTGATCGGATTGCCTCAGCGCTTGATCCCAAAGGAGTTTGCACAGCCGGTTCTCCCTATTCTTTTGCACTTGCTTAGTGAAAGCGAGGCAATGACGGCATTTATCAGTCCTGTGCCCCTCGCCAAGGCAGAGGAGGCACAAGTCATGTGGGTCTGCCGGAGACATGTTGGACCCACATTCCACACATTTGCGGAAGGCCGCTCGCTATGCCATCGCAGAAAAAGAAGAAATAGAATATAGAAAGAGGGAAAAGTAATACATTTTTGGTTTTTTGTTTTTATAGGAACGAGTAAAGAGAAAAAGAAGATATAAACTGGAACGAGGGAATAATAACTTGGAATAAGACTAAGAAGATAAACGGTAAGTAATGAACAATACTGAGGCAAGCAAGAGACGAACAGGCACGAGGCACAGCGAATGGCGGTCACAAAAGACTGGAGAAAATGGCGGACACTCCGCTCTGTATGTACTACCGAAGGGAGGGGAAGCAGAGTTTTTCCTGCCAAAACTGTTAGCTTTCAATCTTTCCGGCCTAGGCGCTGCGCAGGCGCAGCACCCATATGTGTGATGCACAGAGGCCACGACGAAGAACCCTATTTGCACCTGTGCCCTGGTCCTGGAGTTCCAAGCTTGATAGCTTGCTGCTCATGCCTTGGACCTTACAACTAGCTTCTTATGGCTATAAAACAAAGTGCTGTGGAAGCCTGCCATGAGACCACTAGGATGCTCATATTATCACCTGGGTTAGCAATGAATTGCTCTGGGAAAGTGACTGCTCTACAAAATCAAACCAACATATATGCTCGATCTCTTCAAACTGATAAGAAACACTGGCTTCTTGATGAAAAACGCCTCTTGAAACACATGGTATTTGGAAAAAAACAAGAGCTCTGTAAAAGGAGCCTTATTAGCAGTACAACACACATTCTCATTTGTTGAACCTTTAATAACCAGCCTTTCTTAAGAATTCTAATATAAAAGAAAAATTAGACAATTAACATACCATAACCAGAGGAATTCAGACAGAACAGTCCCAACAAGGCCATTGATGACGATGCACATAAGGATTAATTTACTGGGAAATTCAAATGGTTCAAACTCAGTATAATGGAGTAGGAAGAATCCTGGCCAAAGCAGCAGCAAATTAAACAAACCAACAAAACCTGCAATAATCCAGAATAATAAGAATGAAGTATTAGTAGCAAAAGCCAAAACAGCTTAGTATATTTTTAAGTTGTTGTATTTTTCTTGAACTATACTAATGCTTTATTATATATTTTATGCTCAAATCCACAAAAATGCATTTTATATACATTTACACCAAGTTTGCGGGGCTCATTTCAGAAATTAAAAATAAATTATACTGTTTGTATTCAATATTTTATGCAGGAATTTATACCCCACCTTTGATTAACCAAATCACTAATAGTGCAACATTGTCAAAAAAACAAAAAATCAACGCAGAACAAGCAGTGTTTAAAAGCCTGGGCAAATACAGACTTCATGTGGTATCAAAGAGCATCCATGCAGGTACCAGATGAGCCTTCTTGTAAAATAATTCTGTAACGCAGACACCGCAAGGAATAAAGTCCACCCCTGAATCAGAGCTCTTCACACCTGAAATGGTGTGGCAGGCAGTGGAGAAGCACCACAGAACAATTTTCCAAATATTTTCTCAGGTTATAAGGAGACTGATAGAACAGAAACCACTCCCTTGGGAACCTAATTCCAAAGCTAGGTAAAGATGAGCACTTTATTTGTACTGGAAAAACTAGAAGTCAATAGACCTTTATAAGCACCAGCAAGATGTATCTGATGACCATTCTCATTTAGTTAGTAACCTGAAAGGTATTTTGTGAGCTGATTCAAAACAGATAAAAGGCAGTAGTTCACACAGTGCTCAGTTAAACTGTGGAATTCAGTGCCACAGGAAATAATGATGGACACTGATTTAGATGGCTTTAAAAACAGATTGGACAAATTCATGGGGCAGAAGGCTATCAATTGCTACTAGCCTTGCTGGAATGTGCTGCCTCTGTTACCAAAGGTGGCAGGCCAGCATACACCAGTTGCTGAGGAGCTTGAGCAGGTGGAACCCTTGTACCCATCCTGCTTGAAGGGTCCCTTGAGCAGCTAGTTTGCCTCTGTGTGAATAGAGTGCTGGACTAGGTGGACCACTCCTTTGATCCAGCATGGCTTTTTATATGTTCTTATGTACGACTACAGTCTCTGAGCAGTCAGCAAAGGCAGCCCAACATACTAGTCTAACCCTGTTAACAAGGCATTTTATTTGAGTTATATCCCAATCTTACAACAAACTCAAAGCAACCTACATCATTCACCTCCTCCTGCTCTCAGCCTTATCCTCACAACAACAACCTTGTGAGGTAGGATGGACTGAGGGTCTGTGACTGGCCCAAAGTCGTCCAGTTGGATCCATGGCTGAATGGTGATGAACCCAGCTTGCCTGAGTCCCAGTTCCATGCTCTTAACCACTACACCACCCTGGCTCTCAGATACGGTTATCCAAGCCAGGCTACAGATCCAGGCAGGACTGCACCAAACTCAGCTGGAGAAAGGTACAAAGGGCATTGGGGTTGGGGATATATGAGAATTTCATTTTTGATTGCAAAGCATGCTGCATTTGAAGCTTCAGTGTGATTATGGGTACAAACCCATGTCTGCTGGAAGTGTCACTATTGCCAAACGTGTTTATTTGATTTGCACAAATTTCCCAGTTTGATTGAGCAAACATTTTCTGATGTGTGCAAGTTTCCCTGTACACTGACTCTGCCCAAATTTAGTCTACAAAAGTGGTGCAAATGTCATGTTTAATTTCTGCATGATTTGTGCAGTTTCCCCATTTGGGTAGTGTTCACAAACCTGAACAAGGAACTGGGCATGAACGATGTTTGGCGAGTCCTAGTGATTTTGTACATTGCGCATACCCCAATGATAAGACTAGATCTATGAGCATCCTAGACTGCCAGCTTTAAAGGGGAATGCAACCCCATCAAGAACAGGTTCATCACCACCATCTTTGGTAGACAGCTCACCCACCAATGTTGTTGGATCTCAGGTTCAATTTATTAGTCATCCTACACACAAAGTTTACACTTCTATCATCTCTCTTGAATCATATGTAAAAGGGAGAGAGAGAGCTAGGTGTCACTAGTTCCCTGAAGCAGTTCTTTTACAGAACTCTCAAGGTTAGCAGTTTCATGCAAATGAAAAACTATGAGGTACAAGATGGAACTATGCACCATCTTCTGGAATCTATTTGTAGGAAGGGAGCTACAGCTGACCATAACTCCAATTCTCAATTCAGGCAGTGTCTCCAGAAGGACACTATGGTCAAGTGTATCAGGAGGTATGAAAAGACCCAGCAATTAGTAGGGAAAGTCTTTGTTGTCTTCTTTGCCGCATACATCATGGAATAAGGGGACTAAGGAAGTTTATGTGCTAGAATGAAATACATAAAGAATGAAATGCATCCAGTGCTCACAAGGGTGTACTCCAAGTGAGAGCAACTAAGGTCACATTATCTGCAATATAATGACTCCACTGGAAGCTTGGGAAGAGTCCAAGCATAATTCAGTCTGCAAGAAGAGACAAGAAGAGCCCAATTGTTGAGTGGTTCAAACAGCAAATCTGGAATGCGGTTCAGAGACCAACTGTTTGGACTAAAACATACAGCCTATGTGGTATGCATGTGTATCTTTTAACCTCTTGGGGTGGTAGAGGGTGAAATACCATCAAGCTGTAATGCCTAGCACCAGCTTAGAAGTGCTTCCTCCAAGCCATTGCCAGAAGTTGAGGAAAGTAATAGACAAATTCACATAGAAGAAACTGATGGGTAGAGAAAGTCATGACATAACCCTTTAGCCATGGGAAATAAATCAGAAGCACCTGTTAGCAGCTTTACACATGCACTTTATATCAGATGTATATATGCACTTGATTCTGCTCTGATTTCATGAAACAGCATTTTTGTAAACTTGGGACCTGATGAGTATGATTCAAGCCCAGAAAAAAAAAAAAACTTTTAAATATAAAAAACCTCTCTTCTTACCAAAGAACATTGGTATATCAAGCTTGTCTTCTCTGTCTACCTTTCTTTTTATCATAACTATGTAAATAGCATACAGCATAGCTCCCACAAGAGACCACAAGGAACCTGTAGATAGAGAAAGAAAAAATCCACAAATTGTGTTAAAGTAGTAGTCACCATTACATTAAGGGCTGAATTTCTTAAAAGTTAAAAGTTGACATACGAGGGGCATTCAATGTATTCTCAGTATCAGAATGAAGAAAAAGGAATAATAAATTGAAATAATTTTCATTTTTCAATGTAATCCCCCATAACTTCAATACACTTATTACATCTAGAAATTAACTCTTCAATTCCTTGCAAAAAATACCCTTCCTCCTTGTCTAAAAAATGTGCGTTAATTGCCACCTTGAGCTCTTCATCGTTGGAAAATCGCTTTCCACAAAGATCTTTTTTTAAATTCGGGAACAGGTAGTAGTCACTGGGGGCCAGGTCTGGGCTATAGGGTGGGTGGTTTATTTCTTCGAAACCACAGTCTTGCACAGCAGCCTTCCAAACATGCGCCATGTGAATGGGCGCGTTGTCTTGAAGAAGCAACACACCTGTGGTCAGTTTTCCCCGCCTTTTTTCTTTCATTGCTTCTCTTAAATTACGCAGAGTGGTTGCGTAAGATTCTGCGTTTATGGTTTCACCTTTTTTCATGTACTCGATCAATAAAATTCCCTTTGAGTCCCAAAACACTGTGGCCATGATTTTTCCGGCCGATGGAGTGACTTTAAATTTCTTTGGAGGGTCAGCACCATTTTTATGCCACTGCATGGACTCCTGCTTACTTTCAGGGTCATAGTGATGAACCCAAGTTTCATCTCCAGTAACAATCCGGTCGAAAATACTCGATGGATCTTCACCAGAGAGCTCTAAAAACTCCCTACAGCACTCGACTTGCACTTGTTTCTGAGGCGCCATAAGCATTCACGGCAGCCATCTTGCACAGACCTTTGAAAGGTTAAGATGGTCATGAAAAATAGTAAATATGGTACCAACGGATAGGTTTGTCATCTCTGCTAACATTTTGATTTTTATTCGGGCATCGTCCAATACAAGTTTCTCAATTTTTTCCACATTTTCTTTCGTAGTGGCAGTAACCAGCCCGCCTGAGCGAGGGTCGTCTTCAATGCTTTCTCTGCCTCTTTTAAATTCACTTGACCACTTTTGAACAGTAGATAATGAAGGTGCAGAGTCCTAGTAAATGGCCACCATCTCTTCATAAATTATTTTTTTGACTTTTTCCTTGTTTTGTAAGGAACTTAATCACAGCGTGGTGCTCGATTTTCTTCAACATTGTTGCGTCAGTTATCATGGTTGTCTTTCACTGATGATTACTAAAGAAATAATGATCACACTTATTTGAAATTCTGCATGTATACCCTCAGATAGTGTCATTAGCTAATGAAATAATTAAATTACCCACATCAATAGCAAATCAACCCGATACCGGAATACATTGAACACCCCTCGTATTGTTAAGATGTTTTCTTTCCACTTAAACAAATAGTAAGTATCAAAAGAAAACATTTGCCAGAATCCCACAGAACCCACATAAAGTATTTTAAAGCATCGCTTCTTCTAAAACTGTGATGCATTGCAAAGGTAACAATATAAATTTAGTTTTAAGGTATGACAATGGTCTTAAGAATGTATAACAGAATCTACCTAAGTAATTCAATTTATAGTATAATTTTTTAAAAAAAGATATACCTATTGTATCTCTTCCAGAAGACTTTTCAGACCCAGACAGATTCACAAGGACAACACCTCCAATGCTATTTGAGAAATAAAGTTCAATTAAGTTTAGCAAAATATTCTGTATGGAAATCAATTAAGAGTAACATCTGAGACTATTCAGAATCAAAGTAATATTCTTCATTACTGAGTTTGATCTTTCACCCTATCTTTCTCGAAATTACAAAAAAAAATAAAACCCTGTAAGATTTGAAAGGTAAATCTTTTTAATGGACACAATCAACATCATATAACATTATCTTAAAGGAGGGTCCTCAACCTTTTAGGGCCTACAGGTGTATCTGGAAATTTGAGAAGCTGTTATTGGCACAACCTCAAAATGGCTTCCACAGAGGATGTAGCTAGTGATACAATGGCTGTTGTTGGGTCAAAAGTGAGTTAAAGTAGTGGTGGCAGGGACAGAAATCAGCAGCAGGAGAGAAATATGAAGGCAATGAGGTACAGAGGCTAGAAAGAATAAGGGTGGAGGCTGAGGGGAGAAACAGTGAGGTAAAGAGGAATCAGGGAAAAGAGAAACTGGTACCTTAATGTTTTCAAAGTTTTGCTAAAATAAGCATTCAAAGTAGCTAGTGGAGCTTCCTAAGTGCCATTGGAAGTTTCCACAGGAATCATGGAGTCTAGCGATGCTGCATCGGGGACACCGTCTTAAAGTCCTGACAAGAAGCCTCTAAAAAGGAATGCAATCCCAAAGCTCTAGCATTTTCTGTTATTGACACTATAAAAGGGGACTACAACTTTGCATCTGCCACCTCAAAACACATGCCCTTCAAACTTCATGTAAGATTTTCTACACTGAGTGTGTTGATAACTAAACAAAACAGATAATGTGAAGAGACCAATCCCAAGCATTAAGTTCATCTGCAGTAGACCAAACTTTGTAACTTTGCTCATCAAAAATCAACAATATACAACAAATTAGAATGAGTATGGCTCTTCCATACTTTTCCTCTGTGATCAAGAAGAATCAGAGCAACCGGCAGAGATGACCTGCTTTCAACAGATTTAGGACAAATGAGGGATGGGAAGAAGGGGAGGAAGTTAAATCTTTCACTGTTGCATAATTCTCATATTTACTAATATACTGCTGCCCCCTTTTTATTAGGCAGGGGTATATATTGGTACATAACACTACAGTTTAGCTCTGAGCTTTCAGAAAATCCACTCTATCACTCTCTTCTCTGGAATGATCTTTTTTTAAAACATGAACAGGCCACCTATGTATACTTCAACTATCTTTGAACTGAGCCTATTCACTGAAAATACTTTTTCCCCAGGGACTTTGAACCTTCTCACACAGTGACTGGGTTCACATACCACGACAACTCACGGTAAGTTGTCATGTTGTGAGAAAATGGACCGCTTGCCACAGCATAGTTTGAAAGCAACAAGCCACAGTGACAAGCCATGGCTTGTTTTGTGGTTGCTGTACCCACAATGGGTATTGACAGCAAACTGCCAAAGATCAGGCTTCCTTTTAACATGGAGTTTTTGACAGGGCTAACCACAATCACAGGCTAAGCACACACACATATTTAGATATAATCTAATACATATTAGATTAGATACATATATTTATATATATTATGGCCCTGTCAAACAATTCTGATCAGGAATATCAAAAGAACATTTTAAAACAAAGGTTGAAGCTTTGACATAATGATGTGAGTCATACTTTTCCACCTTCCTGAGTCTTGGGAAAGGGTCAAAAAGACCAAACTCCGAGAATACTCAGGATCAGCTAAGTAGCAGAACTCAATACAAAGGGAGTTATCTTTTGGCCATACCTTTTCAAAGAGCAAAATCCACTTGTAGCTTTGCTCTCCTTTGACAGCATGTCCATAGTTGGTACCTGCTGCACTTTTACAGCAGACACCTCCCAGGATGTTTTCCAGGCATGTTCCCAATTTGGACCTGTGGAAGTATTATCTCTGCACTTGTGAAATTCTGACTAAAGTTTTATAAAACTTGAAAAGATTTGACCACTTTTGGAGCATTTGTTTAAGGGTGATGAACCAATGACAGATCTTTCAATTTGCCACTTGGGCACTTTGAAGGGGCTGTCACTGGCTGTCCACTCAGAGACTGTGAGAAGCAAACTCCTCAACGAAACAAGGGGGGGAAAGTGAGGGAATGCCACAATGAGCACAAAAGCATTTGCAGTTAGTTAGAGGAGAAATGGGGGATCCTGCCACAGAAACCTTAGGAAACCTACCAACAACTGAGAGAGGAGGAGGTGGGACAACCAACAGTGAACTTAAGTGTCTGCCAGGGGCACTGGGGTAGTTTCATGAACAAGCGTCATTGAGTAGTTTATTCTCAGGGCTGGCTATTATAACCTATGACTCTATCCAATGATTGTGTCAGCATGAAATGACAACCCACAGTGGCTAACTAGCCACTCTGCAGGAAACACCTAGACCATTTCCTGCAAGCTGGCGTGTGTTTAGGCAAGAAGCCACCTTGAGAACCCATGCCTTGCTCTAGCAGTTGTTCAGCCCATGATAGATGCTCATGTCCAAACTGGGAAGACTGATTCTATTATTGTTGGCTAGCAAGCCACTTGGCAAGAACAGCAAAACCCATGCTACTCCTCATGATCTCACTGCCAGTGAAAGCCCCTCAACTGATGTTGAAGTGGCATTTGGTAAGCAGATGTCACTTGTCTGACACCCTTTTTGGCCCTAGAAAATTGCACACCCACATTTGCCTTAAAAAAGTATTTTAGCCTTTGCCGGTGCACAAAAGTGCACTTATGGCTATCTGATATGTGCTGTATTGCCTTGCTCATGGCATTGGCAAAGAGAGGTGGAATTAGTATGAATGACTAGAGCACGTATAGGCTAATTTGTACACAGCTGACAGTTGCTAATACCCTAGCTATCCCTACACTGAAAAATAAAGGGGAAATAATAGTTAAACTACGTGCTCCCCCTAAGCAATGTAATCCTCTGGTTTTAAAGTGCTGAACTGACAGTTCTCAATTTCCTCTACCATTTCAACTCTTCTGCAAGTTTCTAGCTACTGCAGAAAGAGGTTACTGTATTTCCTCCCCACAGTCCCATTTTCAGTGCTGTGGATACCATGGTTCCCTGACAATTCTAAAACAAAACAAAGCAAGAAAAGGTGGCTAAAGCTAAGTGTATGCACGCTCATGGTACCCCCACCCCCTTGCCTCATCCCATTCTGTCATCTCTAAGGGGTAGCATTTGCACTTTATTTTGAACTGGGAACTATATGAAAGGACAGTTTTGTACCAATTTAAGGGCAACAGGGGGCATTTGTGCAACTCCAGTGACAAAGCAGTTACTCCAAATGGTCAAATTTCAGCTTCATTTACTTTCCAGTCATTCAATTTCCATCTACCCCTCCAGTCCAAAAAAGTGCACATTTTAGAATTGCAGTAACTGCAGCAGCTAAATATTCTGAGAGGAGTCCTCTTTCTAGAACAGCTGGAGATTTGGGAAAGTCTTGAGAATCTGGAGGGAAATGAGAACAGTCAGTCCACTACTTAAAAGCTAAAGAACTACATTGCTAATAGGGTCATAATATTGACATCCCTTTCTCTGGTTTCCCAACATGTATTGCTTTTCCCAGTTTATTTTTCAGTGGACAGCCAGGCAGTTAATGTCCGGCAACAGTGTGCATATTATCCTATATGGAGTCTTGCCTTGTCAGTTTCCATGTACCTTACCCACTCTACTTCCCTGCTTTCTTTGAGAGCTGCAACTTACAATGCCGCTGACAAGGCAACAGTGCATATATTGGACAGTCACTATTGTGCACCTGAGCAACTGCAAGAGACTAACAATAAAAAAGACCAAACTCCACAGTTGTGTAGTTTCCAGGGGCTAAACACCCATCCCACCAACAACTGCAATTGTACTTGTTTGAAGCTCCACATGCCAAACCCCCCCCCCCCGCAAAATAAAAGCAGAGAAAGCAAAGGGTAGTGATCTGAGTAAGAAGGGGGAGACAAGTCAGTTTCTGCTGTGAAGGACACTGGAACACCAGCTGAAGGACCAAGGGAAAAGGGCAGGTAAAATGAGCCACACGAAGTCTGATCTTCTGTCTTCTGTCATGGAGATCATGGGTTGTCTGTGTAGCTTCTCTACACAGTAACCTGGTAAGCTAACTGATTTGAAAATGATTTCACACAGTGAATAGGAAATTTAGCTAGTATTATATAAAATACGGAGAGTAAATGTAACTGTTGAGGCTATATGGTTTGCTTAGTTTGCACTTGGCCATATGGGTTAGAAATAGGTGACAGTTCTAACCCTGGGTTGCTTGTACTGAATTGGAACCATGGGCAATTATGGGCAGAGAGGCTGCCAAAACAAGCGCAATGGTTTATTAGTCATTTTGTGAATGTACTTCCCCTACAGCTGTACATGATCTGTTGCATCTAAAAATAATGAGAATGTCTTCATTACTAAATCTGGCTGTCTAAAAATATTAAACAAGAAAACTCAGACTTGCAGGAAACATGAAAACTGAAGATTAAGGAGTCTATATTCTTACCTTAAAATGACAGCCAATAATTTTGAAAGGGTAAACCTATCTCCACTGTTACTCGGAAACACTGCAGCTAGAATTAAGGTAAATAATCCTGTGAAATGAAATAATGTAAACTTTTATTATTCAAATTTTATTATTTAATACAAAATAGAAACTGAGAATTAATATTTAACAGAGAACACAAAACAACTGAAATAATGAATTAGATTCAGACTAAGTTAGTCTTAATAAGGTTCCAAGGAATTAAGAAGTTGGTTGCAGCTAATTTAATTTTTATTGATTTTAGTAAGACCTACACAGGATGTGATTAATATAGTCTGTATCTGACTCCAAAACTGAAAAAAAAATTAACAGAATTTCTACTACCACATAAAATAGAAAACACTGAAATAAAAAATGGCTTTTAGTAATCTTAAAATAACTACTATTTTTATGGAGAACCCATAGTTTGTTACTGGGTTGTGAACTGTGCCTTGGTCACTGTTAGCAAACTATGGTTTGTTAGAATGGTGGGTTACATAACAACCACCCATGGCTCAACAATACACACTCAACTAATATTCAATATGTTATTGTGTTGTGTGATTCTAGCCATTATTTCCCTTCTTTTCATGTTAAGCCAACAGCAATTCAGCAGCAAGAAAAAAGCAATGGGGAATGCAACTGGTATCCCCTACTACTCAGCAATTCATTTATTATTGGTTATTAAAATGTACATCCTGCCTTTCAAAGAAATATTCAGGGCAGTTTTGAAACAGTGTGACTGAGACAAACTGCTAGAAGTGCTGGAGATGTTTCTACTTATTTGACTCGGGCTTGCAACATAATATACTTCAGAGCCCGCTTGACTGCCTTTTTTAAAAATAGAAGCTCCATTCATGAAATGCCTTCATCAGTTGTAGTTTAGTTCAAAAAGACATAACTGTGGTTTTTTAAGCATGCAATTAATGAGGACATTGAAGCAATTATAAGTTTTAAGTGTGTCAATGGTCTTTGAATATATATTTAATTTCTTACCAGAGGTTGAAGATAGAATATTAACTATGGCCACCTGGGTGTCTGAAAGCGCTTCTTGATAAGAGAAGTTTGCCAAGAACCACTAGGACATTAAACAATAAGTGTTAGTATAACAGCCTGTTCCTTGTTTTAATTCCTGTGATTTTTTTCTCTTTTTAGTTTCCAGTCTGAATCCATTAAGATTCCATTTTTTAAAAATCAGAAAAAAAACTCATTAATCTTCAAAAAACCCAGATTAATAAAGTCTTTGATAAAAAGGGTAGGATCACTGTTAAAGGATTAGGCACAACATCACAAAATAATATGGGTTAAGATATGTAAGTTTTACAGATGTTAATAACATTACAGGTACATCTCATAAAGTAATGGCTATTTTATAGATACATCCAGGTTAGACAGCCATGCTGCTTGTTGCTTTGTGAATCACCCATAACAGTTCTAAAACCATCAAAATATATTGGCTTTCCACGTAGAGAAAGTTAACTGTATTTAAATCCAACTGCAGTTAATGGACTTTACAACACAATGACTCAATGAGACAAGTTAGTAATAAGTAACTTAAGTGAAACTAACTTTCTCCAGACTAAAACCGTATTTTCATTACATAAAAGTTATTATATAATTATTGGAAAGGTGAATCTTTCTAAAACTGGACAGCTAAATTGTTTGTTGAAATAGAGAAAGAAAGCCTATAATTTGAAATTTCAGTTCTTCTTAGAAAATATGCCCAACAGTTTCAGGACACCAAAAGATTACTGGGCAGAGTTAAACAAGATAAGCTAAGTAATAGCAACTCATTGAGCCTGTAAATATACACCCCAATTCTAAAATACCATTACATGTATTTAAGGCCTGCTGAATTCAACATTGTGCATGTTCATAATTCTCAAATACACCCCAAAACACCCCTTGACTGAAAGGGGCATTTTGATGTCGATCAGCCTGGCCCATCTAAGAATAATAATGGAGAAATGGAAAATACACATTAAAATCTACCATATCCTACATTTTAGAAGACATTTTAAACTTAATTTCAAAACGAGGGTTGATAAAGTAATATAAGTACATATTGATATGTCTCATCACTGGTGGCAGTTTTTATTCAGTGTCGGTAATTGATAACTAATGATAACATTTGAAAATTTTAAAGTCAACATTTTGAAGTTCTTTTTGTTCTGGTTAATTATTGTAATAAAGAAGGAAAACAATAAAGATGACATTTGGAATATATGGTGCTTTAAAACCCATGCTTAAATGTATTTAATGTGTTTGAAAGCAAATAATTAAATTTAGCATCTGAAATTATCTGCAATTGTTTAAATGATGTAAGCTAAATTAAACAATTACATCAATATCACATATGATCTAATTTATATTTAGAGAAGCAAAGTAGGGCTAAGAAATGTAGTTTATAAAACAATGGTTTTCAGTATTATGCATTTAAAAAGAATAAAGAATAAGTGACATACCACAAAGCAGAAGAAAAAACTGATTTTGGCTACTTGAGATGCAGTAAGTTTCCCCACAGCTTTTAATATTGAATCCTGTTCCTTAACCGTTGGATAAGACATACGAGACAGCTTTGCTTCCAGTGCATGACTTGATGGGAGTTGTCGAATCTCCATAATATTACTGAACCTTACACGAGGCTTTTTGGGAGCTTTGGGGGAAAGAAGTGGTATGTGTCATTATACGTATTAATGGAACAGAAAAATAATCTACATGATAAATCCCAGACTTTCACAAAGTTCCAGTTCAGAGTAACTTCCCATCTTTAACTCAATACCTGCATATTTAGTTTTAACTATGACAAAATGATTTCTTTCAAAAGCATGCATTCCCCAGAGAGTGCTAAAGACAAGCTGTAACTGCAAATAGCACCCTAAAGGATCCCAGATTTGCCTGCCTCAGGAGGACAGCCTCTCTTGGGGAAGGTCCCTTTGCCCAATTTTGGGGGATTTCTCCTTACCACAATTCTGGACGTTCAGCTGGTTCCTGATTCTTGGGTCTGTTTGTACAATCAGCAGATTAAATGAGCCTTGGTGGCTTATTTCCCCTCAAAAGTTTGTTGTGTGCTTATGGGCTTTGCATGATTATGATAGTGGCTTGTCTTATGTGAATCCAGCAAGGATGGCTTGTGTTTTAACAAGCCAGAACAAAACCTGTCTGGTTCATGGGTTCTGGGATGCCAGCAAGCCATCATCACTGGGCACTAGCCCACCCTGGCAATAAGCCACAATGGGTTGGTTATCATGCGAACAAGTAAACAATCAGGCTTACCATGGGTTTTTGCCTTCTATCCACCTTAATCCTGCCACAGGTATGCCAGGGGATATCATGGCAGGACTGAATTGTCCACCAAATCTGTAATCTTTCTGGAGATTGTGAAAGCTTGCTGGTCACTTTCATGATTCCCATTTTTACAGCTATGGATAGTCCCTTCAAAGCACTCCACTTTGGAAGTTCTGCATGGTAGCCCTACGTACATACCTACCTACCCACCTATCTATGACTGTATATATGTGTACAGCAGGAGCCCCATACCCACTGGTTCAGTTACTATTATCTGTGAATTGTAAAAAAAAAGAAATGTGTATGTACAGTATATAGCATTTGATATTATCTGTGGTTTCAGGCATCCGCTGGGGCGGCTTGAAACCTCTTCCTGTGGATATGGAGGTCCTGCTGTACATGTGTATATGTAGACATGTACATGCAGATGTATGTTCCCAGTAATTTTGCAAATATTGGAGATTTAAACATAATAATACCTGCACTTATTCAACTTCAATTGTCTTTGCCAAAAAGAAACAATCTTTAACCTCCTGTAAATTCCACTTTAAAAATGTAGTTAAACTTTGTCAGCTGACTGGGTTCACATAACACAGCAAGCCATGCCCAAGAGGGCAACTCCCTCAGGGACATCCCTCCAGCACATACGTTAGGGGAAATAAACCACAGTAGCTTATTTACCCATGATTGTGCAACCATAGTCACTGTGTAGTATTTTCAGGGGCCGGAGAGGCAACAACAACAAAGGGGACAAGAAAGTCCATTTCTACCAGTGCAGTTAATTCAGTTTACATCTGGACCCCACTGGATGTGTTCCCATCTGTACTGTATTTAAGGAATGAACTAGTTTTCCAAAATTTCACGATAGCCCATTCTCTTTTTCAAACAGAATATATATAGCTCAAGAATTTGGTTCTCAGAAGAAAACCAAAGTTAGGTATTTAGTATTACATCTTTGCCTTCAAGCTAGTTTAAGTATGGCTACTACACCATCTTGTGGTTAAAAAAGAAGGCTTAGCTAAGTCTTTATTTATGTCCAATTATAACATTTCTTGTCTTAAATACTGGTTAGAGAAATAGGACTATAGCCCCTAGTGCCCAGGTTCAAGTATATGCTTTGCTGTTGAACCTTGATTCCCTATATATGTATAAACAAAAGCAAAAGATAAGCACAAAATCTAGGAAGTAGTTGTAGAATCTATAGGGCATGCAATGCACCATGGGGTTTTGGGATAATATATGTGCAATGGCATGATTGTTTGCCCAAGTGCACTCACAAACACAAAGGCACTGACTGCCTTATAATACTTAATCAAATTAACAAATTGAATAACAAGATAATATATGATGTCACAAAATTTATTAATTATCTATATTTGTTAATTTGTATCCTGTCTTTCCACAAAATGGTGCTCAAGGTGGCAATCAAAGCAAGGGGTATTTTTTCAGTATTAATTTTTCAACATAAAATGTGCTATCTCTAATACTTCACATGAACTGTGAAACCAAGTACAACTTACGTTGAAACAATCTACTTTGCATACTTCCTACTTCAACAACATGCCGGTCATTTATTTATTTTAGCATTTGCTTTGTGCATGAATTCCAGAGTTAGCTGTAATTTGAAGATGTGAACTAATATGCCAATTACCTGACTTAAAGGCATTTGCCTTACTACTGAATTTATAACAGATTTCAGAATTTTATTAATTTGCTTGCGTCATCTCATTTTTTTACAATTTGGCAGTTAGAATGTGTGGTGACACAAATTCCAAGTCATTAGGTATAATGGAAAAGCCATCTATTATGTGCTTTCATATTTGTAGAATTAGATGGAAATACCAATGTACTTTGAAATTATTAAGTATTTACTCACTTTTTTCATTATCACTATTTGTGCTGCTACATTTCTCAGCTGGTAAGTCATGAAACTTTACAGGAACGTATAAAGGTTCACTCTGGAATGCAGAATAACAGATTTTCCGTTATGGATCACAGTTACCTAAAACTGAACTCAAAAACTACTAACAGTGCAATGCCATGCATATTTTCTGGTAAGTACACTCAAGGATATAAAGTGGTTTAAATTGATAAAAACAAAGTCTGACTGTATCTAATTCTAGGTAAGTACACAGGATAGCAAACACAGCTTACGAACTTGGAAAAAAATCTGCTAACCAAATACAGGTAACAAAAATTAAGCACTGCCAAAAATAGTAAATATATTAGTCCAAAGGTTAGGATTAGGGTTAGTACATATAGTCCAAAGGTTTATCATGTATTTGTGCTGTTCTTAATGAACATCTCACATAGGAAATCTTTAATAAAGAGAACAGAATCCAAAAAACCATGACTTTGTTCCCATGGTCCTGGGAATTTTAAGGCTCAGGCTTACTACAGCAGCTTCCTATGAGACTCTCCCACCAAATGGTCTTGTGACCCTTTGATTCTGCACCCAGTACAGCACTTGATGTACATTTCTTTTGAATACTTGTAAAAATACAAAAAGCTAAAATACATTTTTACACTCTGAATTAATGCTAGAAACAAAGAAAAGCATTAAATGGTAAAAGTGGAGTGGGGCACTGATCCAGTTTGTGCGACACAACAGGGACTACTGTGAGCTACTTAAGCTATCAAATAGCTAAAGTGGGGTTGGCAAATTGTGGTCGTCCAGATATTTTGGTCTACAACTCCCCTCACCCTGCACCACTGTCTTATGTTGTTAGAGCTAATGAGGTTTACAAACCCCCGCCCCCCACACACAAGTTGCAATCCCTGGAGTAAATTTTCAAGCATGTAAAGACAATGTAAGGCTGCCATACAGATCTGGCTTCCATTTGGACACTACAGTGTATCTGGTGCTGCTAAACTGAATTCTTCATGCTACGAAGATAAGGCTGTCCATGGAGTCCATCAACACATTTAAATATAATTGAAGCAGCAATATGCAAACAGCATTTGACTCATATGCCTTTAATAATTTTCTAGATCAAGTATAATACACCCTTGTAGATCAGAAACATTTGTGTTCATAGGTCAGTTTGCCTTCTATCAAGATTCTATTTAAACCTACATTATGGCTGATTTGGACTTGTGTTTCTTCTCCATGCTAATTAAAAAAGAGAGATAAGAAATGAACAGATATTGCTGTTACTTAAAGACAGAACTTACCAAGGAACTATTTGTGCTACTGTCAGTTGCACAGGCAGCAAAATAACCTTCAGCGTCTGCAAACTAATCAGAGATTTAACATTTAAATTTAACTTGGACAAGCGTGCAGGTCAGGGCTGGGCAACTTGTTCTTCACATGTCATTTGACTGCAACTGCAGTCAACCCTAGTCAATATAACTAATGGTAAAGGATGATTGGAGTTACAGTTGGAGGGCTACCAGTTTTCCCATTCCTGGTGCTGCTTAAAATCAGTGTATCATTAAGCCACAGTCATAGGAATCTACAGGTGAAAGTGAGACTCAGGAAAGTTGGCTTACTAACCAAGAATGAACACATCCAACCCTAATCCTGCCTCCTGGCTTGGTGTTAGGTTAGCTTCAGCTGCTGTAGCTTCAAAGTGAAACCATGTTGGCATGAAATCCATTTCAAGAAGTGGACAGGCAAACATTTTGGAACTAGAAAGCCAATACAAGAAGGAGCACATGACAGGTAACAGAAAATCAATAAATTGAGGCACAGTTCAGGTAAGACACAAGTGTTGCTGTTCAGGTAAGTAATATCTGCCCTGTTTTGGAGGGAGTTGCACTTCCCCTATGGGACAGGGTGTGCAGCTTGGGAGTACTCCTTGACCCAGAACTATCCCTAGAATTCCACATAGAGTCTGTAACAAGGAGTGCTTTCCTTCAGCCGACGCTGGTCCATCAGATACATCCTTACCTGGACAGACAGGCCCTAGCAACAGTAACTCATGCACTAGTAACCTCCCACTTTAATTATTGTAACTTGCTCTACATAGGGCTGTTCTTGAAGATTATCTGGACATTGCAACTGGTCCAAAACCAGGTTACCAGATTGCTGGCAGGGGCCAGTAGTCAAGAACATATCACACCAGTCCTACAGCAATTACAATGGCTATCAATCAAAGTCTGGCCTAATTCAAGGTATTAACAATAACATACAAATTGTTTGGGGGCCTGGTTATCTAAGCAAACATCTTCTCCCATATGAGCCTGCCCAGACCCGAAGAGCATCCACGGAAGTCATCCTCTGAGAGCCCTCCCTAAAAGAGGTGAGGAGGGCTGTCACGAGGAGGAGGGCCTTTTCTGGGATAGCACCCCCATTATGGAACTTGCTCCCCAGAGAGGTGCATGTTTTATTAGTTTCAGCACTAGGCTAAAACCTTTTATTTTCCCAATTTTTAAATTCATAATGGTATTTTAATTGAGTTGTACCAAGTACTGGCACTTAAGAATTTTTAACCATTTCACTGTTGCAATAACTGTTTTTTTTTCCTTTCTGTAAACCATCCTGAGAGTTTATAATGTTGGACAGTATATAAAAACGTATGAATAAATAAATCAACCCCTATATGACTCCCTCAATTCTTCTCTTCTCTGGAATAAGTCTAATGACACCTGGAGTCAAAAGCTAGTCTAATGGTTGTTTGTTGTTGTTGTTAGTCGCGAAGTCGTGTCCAACCTATCACGACCCCATGGATAACGTTCCTCCAGGCCTTCCTGTCCTCCACCATCCCCCAGAATCCACTTAAGCTCATACCAACTACTTCAGTGACTCCATCAAGCCACCTCATGCTCTGCCATTCCCTTCTTCTTTTGCCATCAATTGTTCCCAGCATTAGGCTCTTCTCCAGGGAGTCCTTCCTTCTCATTTGGTGGCCAAAGTATTTGACTTTCATCTTCAGCATCTGGCCTTCTAAAGAGCAGTCTGGGTTGATCTCTCTAGGACTGACCGGTTTGATCTCCTTGTGGTCCAAGGGACTCGCAGGAGTCTCCTCCGGTACCACAAAGGCCTCAATCCTTTGGCACTCAGCCTTCCTTATGGTCCAGCTTTCACAGCCATACATTGCAACTGGGAAAACCATAGTCTTGACTATACGCACTTTTGTTGGCAGGGTGATGTCTCTGCTTTTTAGTATGCTGTCTAGATTTGCCATAGCTTTCATCCCCAGGAGCAAGCGTCTTTTAATTTCTTGGCTGCAGTCCCCATCTGCAGTGATCTTGGAGCCCAGGAAAATTAAACCTGTCACTACCTCTATTTCTTCCCCATCTATTTGCCAGGAAGTGAGAGGACTGGATGCCATGATCTTAGTTTTCTTAATGCTGAGTTCCAAGCCAACTTTTGTACTCCCCTCCTTCACCCGCATTGAGAGGCTCTTTAGTTCCTCTTCACTTTCTTCCATTAGAGTGGTAGCATCTGCATATCTGAGATTGTTGATATTTCTCCCAGCAATCTTAATTCCAACTGGTGATTCATCTAGCCCGCCTTTCTCATGATGTGCTCTGCATGTAAGTTAAACAGGCAGGGTGATAGTATACCTGAGTGGCCTAGTGCTTTTCCCTACTTTCTTCAATTTAAGCCTAAATTTTGCAACAAGCAGCTCATGATCTGAGCCACAGTCAGCTCCTGGTCTTGTTTTTATTGACTGTATAGAGCTTCTCCATCTTTGGCTGCAGAGCACATAGTCAGTCTGATTTCTGTGTTGACCATCTGGTGATGTCCATGTGTAGAGTTGTCTCTTGGGTTGTTGGAAATGAGTGTTTGCTATGACCACCGTATTCTCTGGACAAAATTCTACCAGCCTGTGCCCTGCTTCATTTTGTACTCCAAGGCCAAACTTGCCTATTATTCTGACTATCCTTTGGCTTCTTACTTTAGCATTCCAATCCCCCATGAAGATAAGGACATCATTTTCTGGTGTTAATTCTAGAAGGTGTTGTAGGCCTTCATAGAACTGGTCAACTTCAGCCTCTTCAGCACCAGTGGTTGGGGCATAGAACTGGACTGCAGTGATGCTGAATGGTTTGCCTTCGATTCGAACTGAGATCATTCTGTCATTTTGGAGATTGTATCCCAGTACTGCTTTTCCTACTCTTTTATTGACTATGAAGGCTACTCCATTTCTTCTGAGGGATTCTTGCCTGCAGTAGTATATCTGATGGTATTCTGAATTAAATTCACCCATTCCTGTCCATTTGAGTTCACTGATTCCTAAGATGTCGATGTTCAGTCTTGTCATCTCTTGTTTGACCACATCCAGCTTGCCTTGATTCATGGATCTTACATTCCATGTTCCTATAGAGTATAGATCTTTGCAGCACCGGACTCTCCTTTCACCACCAGATACATCTGCAACTGAGTGTCCTTTCGGCTTTGACTCAGTCACTTCATTCTTTCTGGCGCTACTAGTACTAGCCCTCTGCTCTTCCCCAGTAGCATACTGGACACCTTCCAACCTGAGGGGCTCATCTTCCGGGGTCATATCTTTTTGCCTTTCAGTACTGTCCATGGGGTTTTCATGGCAAAGATACTGGAGTGGGTTGCCAAGGGTGAAGTCAGTCCACAGTATAAACCAACTTTAGACTGCTAAGTATATCTGGATTCAAATAAATTAAATCAAAAGTTCATATTTAAATATTAACCTTCTTCACTGAGTCTCCAGGTGTTGTTCAACTACAACTCTCATCCTCATCTTTAAGCACTGCCTATGCTGGATAGGGCTGAAAAAGTGTGAAACTTACAGCCATTCAAAATTCAACCTTACTTCAGGAGTGGCATGTTTATTTATTTATTTATTTATTAAAACATTTTTATGCCGCCCCATTCGCCGAAGCCTCGGGGCGGCTTACAACAATGAGCATATGAAAGCATAATTAAATTTGCCCACCCTAGTTCTGAGAGCAGGTAGCTTTGATTAAGCCAGTGTTGCTAAGTTTGTCCTTCCATTTGTGACCAGTAGGGGTTTTAAGCAAGGTCAGTTTGCACTGTCAGTTTTCCTGCCCCTGCTTTGCATTGCTGAAGCAGGGTTTCTTGAAATGGCTCGTTGTCACCAAACACAATAGGAGCGTACATATTTGCCCTACCTCTAAGCAGCCTGTGACAAAGAATTCCAGAACATAGAAAAGAACCAAAGTGGGATGATTTACATGATCAAAGTGAGCCACGATAGACTATTTAAACCAAGGGATGTGATTTCCTCAGTCATTACACAGGTGCAGCTTCTCATATCATCCCATCCCAGGCTTGATGGAGGGGGAAACAGCCATCCAATAACCCAGTGCCTTTGTACAATTATTGAAAATCATTTCCCTTTCCAACAAGCCATGGTGCCCAAATCATTCCTGGGATGCACCACTGTGATTTAAACTGTAGTGGCTTATTTTGATAGTATGGACCAGGTCAATATATATTTCCTGTGGTTTTATCTTCTTCCCTACCTAAGGTGCAGGCAGAGGTGGGGGAGGGGCTTCTGAGGGCAGGGGTGCAGAGACTGGACAAGGCCGGCTCTGGCTGAGGCATGCGAGGGGGCCAAAGACGACAACCTGACCATGCGGATGCCCTCCATGTGGGGCAGGGGGCAGCCAGCCTGCTGCAGCATGTGCAGGTCCTGTGCACAGGATAGCATGGACACATCTGCAGCAATGGAGAAGCAGGGAAGAGGCGTGGGTAGGTATGCTTGTATACTGGCACAGATCATGGCTTCAAGGAGAGGCAAAAGTGCTACTCCAGTAAGTGGCTGCTTTGGCTAAGCAGGAAAAGGAACCACTGACGGAGGACATGCCCAGGGGAATGTGTGGACCAAAGGTGGACAAACAGGCAAAGGAGGAAGGAACAGTGCGCTACTGAAATGAATCTCAGCCATGAAGGCTGATGGCTGATGCCATCACTGGGAGAAATGAAGGAGGTGGGTGATAACCTTGCAAGCGATCACCAGGTAAGAAAACACTCCATGTGTAACTGAGCAGCATGTTTTAGTGTTACATGTGACACAGCCATTACCTATGCTACTCTTCATTTCTTCGCACAATATGGGAATCATGAGAACTGTGTTGGGAGGGAACCCATTCATCACTTCTGTATTTTATCAGTCTCAAAAAGTCAGACTTCAACTGCTACATCCTTTTGAACAGGATAAACAAATCTTTTCCAAAGAAAAAGAATTTATTTCATTTCTTTACTGCCCCATGGCCAAAGTTCTCTGTGCAGTTTATGGGAGTAATAGAATAAAGTAAAGAGAAATGAGGGGGGGGAAAACACACATGTCCAAGCACTGATTCCAGGACCGATAAAACTTTATATCCTATATTCATTTCAGTTCCTCTAAGAAGCATTACTGCTACAATTACCACTTCTGTTCATGCAATGATTCACCCTGAAATGTCAGGCTAATGGAAGCATAATTTTACTCACTGAACATCTATCCGAGGGTTTAGCTTATGTTACTTTACATAGGCTTTTCTCTCTACCACATGCTTTGATTTGGATAATTTATAGAAGCCACAATGTTAGACAAATTATTAATCTGAAAGACAGACACTTACAAAAGCTGCATGTCTGCCACGAAACCCACGCGTGCATTGTTGTCTCCATGGTTTCCAAACAATAAATCCCAAAAGGTAAAGAACAAACATGGATGTTTTTGC